AATATTTTAACAATGAACTTTCGCTATGATCATTAGTCTTAGAGTTAATAAGATATTCACACAATTCTATGTTAGTGTTACGACTATGGTGACAGTATTATTGTAAATGTATACTGTATAGTGTATACCATAGGCATATATTTCTACTAACTAGTATGGTAGCCTAAGATTATGAGAAAAAATGTTATTATTCATAAAACATTCAATATCTTCTAAAAAGTAAAAACGGTATTTATTCGTACGTATTTTTGACTTGTTTCGTGCGTTAAGTGCGTGAGGTTTTAAAAGTGCGTACGAACCAACTATGGTATTGGTTATAGGCTGTATCCCAGTACTATCAGTGTCTTTGTGCCACTTCTGTCGGTTAACCGTTTGATGGTCACACTGTTTACCCTTGAGAGCTCATGGTAGTACTCAAAAGCTTCCTCAAAAGCTTCCTCAAAAGCTTCCTCAAGAGCTTCGTAGTGAAGGATAATAATTTGTGCGCGATGAAGCGTCAAGTGACACGAACATCCTCCTAATCACTAATCATGTGCAGGTTGTATTCCATTTCCACGAATATATGGCTCTTTCCACTTTCCACCCATTATTTTTTTTTGTTTTATTATAAAGTCGCTTCGGTTGATGTTTATTTCCGTCAAAAGATAACAGGATGATGATAAATCACTCTACACTGAGCTATCACGTGACTAAGTTTAATAAGTCGGAAGTCCTCTAAACGGAAAATTCAAACCCCAGTGCATGAAAATCTAATCTGATGAACCCAACCTAGTTAACCCTTATCCAATCTCTAACTCAAGCATATGCTAAAACAATAAAACGATTAAGTTGACCTCGTTGATAATATTTTATAACTTATAAACGATCTAAAAAATTTTACCAATCACTATTTTTTCTGATTTTTCCTCTGTCAAACGTCCAAGAACCCCGATAAATAATTTTATTTTCTGAAGAGCTGACAATAAATATTTCAAATAATTGGGTATCTTGTCATACCTTGTCACGCATTGTCACCATACAATAATGATAATTAAAACATATTCAAAAAAATTCCAGCACATTGTGCTATCAAATTGTGAATTGTACGACGCATAACACCTGTTAAATATACCAATATGAACGCTCACCCTATGGGCTCGTGTTTAAATATCAAACAGGATTTATACTTCTCGAGCTACGCTTTAACATTTGATTTAACCCTCGGAAGCATATTGTCTATTGCACGTTTTACCATGTCAATTTTTAACTTTTTAGCCTCCCTTCTGATATTGTTTTTTAGCTCATCTACTGTTTGTGGGACTGGGTCTGAATAGACACGTTCTTTCAGATAGCCCCACAAAAAGAAATCGGCCGGATTCAGGTCAGGGCTGTAGGGAGGCCAGCTGAACTCAGCTTTCCTCGATATCAGTCTTTCCCCAAAATGCTCCTTCAGCCAAGCCAAACTTTCGTGCGAACAGTGTGGAGGGGCCCCGTCTTGTTGGAATATACAGGAATCAAGTATTTTTTCCTTTTAAGTACTGGGATAACTTTTCCACGCAACATAGCAATGTAATTTGCTGTCCTTATCGTCTCTGCCTTCTCTTCTTCATTCTCGAAAAAGTGGGGTCCGAAGACACCATGGTAACTGAGGCCCATCCAAACAGTCACCTTTTCTCTGGTTTTTGGACCTTCCACGGTGGCATAGGGTTGCTTATCTGACCAGATTCGGGCATTCTGAGTATTTTCCTGCCTGCATTACCGTATTTCTTTGAAAGTGCCCTCCTAGCAGCAGCCCAACTACTTCCGTTGACATAGAAAAGCTTGACCATGTCTACTCTCATTTCGTCTGATATGCCAGGTTTTGACATTTTTTCGAAGAAAATTTCGAAAGGATACAAATTTGCGAAAAGATGAGTTTTGAAACGAATTTGTGAGATATAACTAAAATGTAAGGTATAACCAGCATTTTAAAACCGATTGCATCTAATTTTGCTCCTTCATAAAATTAAAAATTAAAATTTTAAATTTGGACACGAGTCTCGAAACACCCTGTATGACCAAACACTACTAGTACTATAATAGTACTGGCATTATCTTATATCCTATCTCACCTAGTCAGCTTATAGACCGGATCCTATAGTAAAATCCTGATCAGATTTACCGTATACTTTTCGACAATTTGATTTTTCTCGTCTTATGTTATCAACATCATCAGAATCTACTATTATTTGGCACAGTCAGCTAGATTGTTAGTCGAGACATACATTATCCATCTGTATGTGCTTTTTAGTTCACAGTCATGAAAGTAAGAAATATACAGTTCCGGCGACTGTCCGTGCATTGCCCGTTACTAAATAAGTTTACGACTACTTCACAAAAGGCTATTTAATTAGATGCAATTACAAGCTATTGTCCAATTATTTTTGAGAAAGGACAAGCTGGCAATCTTTTATCTTCCAATCTGCGCTTTCTTGAGAAAGGAAAAATATTCTTTTATTGACGGATATATCATATTCATATGGTGCGGGGTGTATTTATAAACGCCTAATGCATTTGTTATACAAAAGAATAGACAAAAGGTTTACTAGTGCCATAAACAAAAGAGTTTAGTAGTGAAAAGGCAAGGATACTATTTCTCGATCTGTTTCTAATGTTATTGAGTATTTACTTTTGTAATTGTTTCCAAACGCTTGACGTACGTGTTGCGTAAATGCTTTATAATATTAACATATTATTTATATATAGCACATTATATTAGCCAGAGCTCGACCGGGATACCGGCCGGTATTTGGCGATTTTGGACCGGTACCGGTACCGGCCGGGATTTTGGTTTTAGCCGGGATTTTAGCCGGGATTTTTCCAAAATAAATTCTTTTTTTTTTCAACGTAAATTCGAGTCCAAAATTCGCAAATCTGTAAACATTTTCCTAAAACATTTTGATGAAATCATTAAACAATGGAGACTGGAGTCAATCTAGATTGAAAATAATCATGGGTTTCATGACGTCGATTTTAGATTTTCGTTTACGAGTAATGGACTTCTTTCTGACTTTAATGCTAGAAATATGACTTATGACTTAATTATTGTGACTAAGTGTCACGGCTCACGGTCTTGTGTAAAACAGAGTTCTCCGGGTAAAGAAAGCATTAATAAATGTTAATAAATTGTTCTATTTATAAGTATTCACTATTCAGTATTCGCCCTATTCAATTATTCAGGTAAGGTTATGTAAACTGTAAAGTGTAAAGCTCCACCGTCAAACTCCATGTTCAATCAAATTAGTTTAAGTAACCAATGCCAGATCACAAATATGAGTTCTGTGTCAGTTTTGACTTATATAAACATATTTAAGTTTGTCCTTTACTTGAAGGTTTTATTTTAAAATTGTTCATTCTAACGGAGTAACAGAGAAATATCGGAAAAATCCCGGTACCGGCCGCTATGACGCTGATCCCGGTACCGGCCGGGTTTTCATTTTCATCCCGGTACCGGTACCGGTCCCGGCCGGGATGGAGGAAATCCCGGCCCGGTACCGGCCGGGACAAAATGTCGATCACGGTCGACCACTGATATTAGCACTACTGATTAGTGCTGTTGTTTTGTTCTTATGATTTGTTGGTGGGTGTATCTTTATTTATTAGTGCAGTGTGTAATAATATATCAATAAACCTTCCAGTCCTATGATTCCTATATGATCCTTTTGAAGTGATTTCTGGTGGTTTATTGTTAATCGTAGTGTGGTATATATCGATAAATCTTCCTATGATTACTATATGATATAATTAAAATGATCTTTTCTGAATAGATTTGTTTATGAGATGATTAAGTTGTTTGTTGCTAGATATTTTCACCTCACCCTTTAGAACCGCTCTGATATGGTAGTACCTGACACTTGTGTCAGTTGCTAACCATATGGGCGGTACACAAGCATATTATTTCATTTCATTATTACATACTAGTACTATATAGTTATTTTAAGCTTTATTTTCCTTTTCATCATACATAAGATGAAATTCTCAATATGTCTTTCAGTTTATAGTTTGATAAAATACATTTACATATTATGGTAAATAAATTAATCAGTGATATTCTACCTATGTCCTATGTAGATTTGACAGAACCATACTTGTCATATTCGAGCCCTACTGCTTTGCACGTGCCATGATACAACCAATTATTCAAAAATACAATCGTCGGAAATGGAAAATGTCTTTAATCTTTATCTTAGTCCACAAGCTCCATGCCTTTTTAAGCTGACATTACAAGTTTGATTACGTGTTACTGGCAGCTATGATCACTCTGGTCCTGAAAACTACGTTAAAACATTTGTACACTCTTAAGACCAGACTTAAGATCTACGAAGCCCAGGTGGTCTCCGTCTTAATGTATAATTGTAGCTGCTGGGCTGCTTCAAAGCAGCTACTGAGTAAACTGGATATTTGCCACAGAAAGCATCTGAGGCAAATCATCAGAATGACTTACCCTAATATAATCAAAAACGACACCCTTTACAAGAGATGTGAAGTGGTTCCACTCAGTGAGCGTGTTGCATGTGCACGATGGAGGATGCTCGGACATGTCCTTCGCAGTGATAACAACTCACCTGCACAGCTTGCATTACACTTTGCAGTAGAGAGTCAGAGTACTAAAAAAGGTAGAGTAGGCAGACACCAGTCGAACTTGCTTAGGACTATTAAATTTGATTTAGGTAGTAGGAACATTCCATTTGTAAATACAGACGATTTGTACAATTTAAGACTTTTAGCCTCTGATAGAGCGGGATGGAAGAAGTTGTTATAGCTTGTGTATCAGTATTTCTTTTTTTTTCTGGCTACTTATCAGATCTTTAAGATGTTCATTTATGTTCTATTTTTGATTTGAATAAAGTTATATAATAATAATCAGGCAAATTTGCAAACTTTGGGCAGTTCATTAATAATTAATAATCTTGTATCCTAATTATGCTAATAGTAGGTAATAATTATGCTAACATTTTCTGATATATTTATCACTCAGCTAGCTGTGCACCAAACTATGGGGTTACTATGGATCTGTCTGGCAATGCTCCTAACAATCCGATCTATTGTCGGAGATCCCACTATTCCAAAGTCCCAGGCGAACAAAGGCTTTAAGTTTCAGAGCGGAACGGGCAAGAATTTCTTCGAGATGAAGAAAAGCAGGGAGGAACCAGTGAAGAAGGAGTCAGCCATGTGCCTCGCGTTACGAGGATTGAGGGAGATGAGCAGCAGTGAGATAGCAGAGATAGTTGGGGAGGCATGTCCTGTTCAGGAAGGACAGAGCGGTACTCCCATAGAAACAGTCCCTGTAGAAACGGGAAGTACTGGGGGCACCGGCTGCAATCCTGGAATGTCTATTGAGGAAAGGGTTACACTTCAACGGACTGAAACCAGACTCAATCAAACTCTACTGGTACTGGAACAAATAAGATCGGAGAGTGAAGCTTTTAAAAGTGCTTTGAAGAGCACAGAGCAGCAACTCTATTCAACAGAATTAGAACTGGCACAAACCAAATCAGATCTGGATAGCAAAGCGCTTCAACTCAATTCAACAGAATTAGAACTGGCACAAACCAAATCAGATCTGGATAGCAAAGCGCTTCAACTCAATTCAACAGAATTAGAACTGGCACAAACCAAATCAGATCTGGATAGCAAAGCGCTTCAACTCAATTCAACAGAATTAGAACTGGCACAAACCAAATCAGATCTGGATAGCAAAGCGCTTCAACTCAATTCTACAGAAATAGAAATGAAAATGGCACAAACCCAATTGTATGTGGATAGCATGGTGGAACTACTCAATTCAATAGAATTAGAACTGGTACAGACTAAATCAGATCTTGATAGCAAAGCGCTTCAACTCAATTCAACAGAATTAGAACTGGCACAGACTAAATCAGATCTTGATAGCAAAGCGCTTCAACTCAATTCAACAGAATTAGAACTGGCACAGACTAAATCAGATCTCGATAGCAAAGCGCTTCAACTCGACTCAACAGAATTAGAACTACTGGCACGGACCAAATCTGATCTGGATAACAAAGCGCTTCAACTCAATTCAACAGAATTAGAACTGGCACAGACCAAATCAGATCTTGAAAACAAAGCGCTTCAACTCAACTCAACAGAATTAGAACTGGCACAGACCAAATCAGATCTTGAAAATAAAGCGCTTCAACTCAATTCAACAGAATTAGAACTGGCACAGACCAAATCAGATCTTGAAAATAAAGCGCTTCAACTCAACTCAACAGAATTAGAACTGGCACAGACCAAATCAGATCTTGAAAGTAAAGCGCTTCAACTCAATTCAACAGAATTAGAACTTGCACAGACCAAATCAGATCTTGAAAGCAAAGCGCTTCAACTGGAATCAACAGAGCTAACATCTGAACATGCCGAAATAGAGAAGTACCAGTCCATTCTGGAAATAAAATGTAAGTCCAAAACTTTTTGTCAGTTAAAATTATTCATGTTTTACACTTAGAACTTATAAGTAAATATTTACTACTACTAGATGAGGTATTTACTACTACTAGATGAGGTAACATATAAGAAAAGGAAATTATTGTGCGAAAGGTTTATAAGTAATTATAGTAGCCATATAGACTATTTTGCCTCAGCTTGCTCAAGTGCGACTGAACAGAGCCCAATCTATGGTGACTACAGTTGGACTGAAACTGAGCCCTTTTCTTACGCACACCTGCCCTGTGTACACAATGTAAGTTTTGTTAAAATCTCAAATAATCACCAGAGATCATGCAACTAGAGTCTGAACTGATTTAATTCAACCTCGTAAGACAACCGGATGACTTTTAACAATCGCTATTCGCTTCACAATGCCACTTAGTATCATGAACATTATAACAGTAAAATAATCTTTCAGGGAGAACAAAATGCCCGAAAGTTTTGTTTGATTTCTGGAGAATTTGACGCTACGAATTTCACACTCTGTAGATCTCCTGCAGCTGGGCAAATAGAAAACATTCTATCGGTAATTACCTGATTTTATATTAATCATACTCGTGCTACATAATTATGTGCTTTTGCATTACTGATATACTTTATGAAGGATCATCAGCAAGCTAGGAAAGTATTTATATTCTAATTATCAGCTTTTACATTACTGATACTTTAAACCTGAAATAATCTGTAAAATGCTATAGCTGATGTCTTGATGATATGCTACTGATACTGCTAAACCCCAAATAAATTGTCAATACCACAGCTGATAGAATCCTAACCTAATAACAGATCTCGAGTACATCTTAACAAAACCTAAATTCCCCACCAGGAAATTGAGAGCGTGACGACAGAATCACAAAATCGTCTATCAGAGGATCTGACACAGCTAACAGCTGAGTCAGGAGACAAAATGGGCGCTGACGATGTTCAGAATATCGCAAACATGGTCGGGATATTCACTGCCTCCCCGGACATGGAGTTGTCTGACAAAACTTTAGACAATCTTATCTCCGTGGTGGACAATATTCAAGATAAAACAGTGCTGGAGTCGATGCAAGACGAGGAAGCAGGCAGATCCTTCAGAGGGGCTACTGTTACTATTGCTAGCAAGCTCGCTAAAAACCAGGATTCTTTGAAAGCAGGAAACTCACTTGGTATGCTGCCCCACTTTTATATGATTATTTAATTGCTTAGTTTACAAAAATAACTTTAGTACATTAAGCATAAGGTAGCATTAATTTTCCTGTAAGTTAACAGGGATTAAACCAAGTTTAAAAGTTAGTAACCACTACATTTATGAATAACTTATGACCTAGAATGTGTTTTAATAACAAGGTTAGCTGTATAGTGAAATCGCATCTTGTCGCATTATCAAGTCTCATCTTGTACAAGGCGGTATTGTATCATACTCACATAATGATATCACGTGGTACCCAGGTTTTGGAGTTGCCAAGGTGACTGTAACAGGAAAATCAGAAAGAAAGAATTTATTAGTTCTAGCTGGTGACACGAACTCTCTGATTGGGAGCACCAATGACGCTGACGACAAATCCAAGAGATTTTTCTCTGTAAATATTGTTGTTTTTATTGGTTTTTAACAACTTATAATTTATGTTTTTGTCAAACTTAATTAACTTTTACTTATATCTATTTAATACAATCGATCAGTATTACTATCATTACAAATATAGCAGTCTATACTCTTCCTTTTCTAAACGTAGAAACCTTCTCGGACAGGCTGAATTAGAAACATCAGAGACTGAAGTAGCGACAGCGGTTTACTACATCTCAGATAAAGCTTTCCCTTCCAGAGCTCTGTCCTCATCTGGAGAGGATGCTATTAAAAGAATTGCTCAGGGTATCAGCAGAGTTTTAGATAACGATAATCTCTCTGGAAATGTTAGTAGTCTTGATTAATGTTACTGCTATAGTGCACGTGTAAATTGTAGTAATGTTTTTGATGATCATCTCAATTCCTAGCTCATGAAATTTATTTTGCATCAAAAATAAGAGGAACTAGGTGGGATATTAAACACTTCGCTCAAAATAAACCATTACTACAACTTCAGTAAATATCTCTAACTAATATGATTACTACTATTTCAGGAGGTATCTCTAGTGGCTACGGTTATCTCTGACATCAACATTGTCGACACAAACTCGTCTCAGATAACCCCTTTGAGACCCAACAAGACAGCTGTCGTCAAATTTAAAGTTCCGGTACGTTTTTATACGAATTTTGTATAAAAACTTGTCCATTGTATTACCGCGTTAGAGTGAAGCACCTTAAATTGTTATTTGATCAGCTAACCAAACAGCAAACTAACGAATCAATCAACTTTCCCCAGAAAGACACTGAGTTGAAGGTACACAGCTTCGTAAAGAGAAAATTACTGGTCACGAGCAAGGTCATGTGCAAGTTTTATAACGAATCAGGTATGACACCATTACCAAAATAGCATTTTAACTCTTATTTCAGATGGTTTCATCATTCAATTTGTTTTAATTTACATATCAACCTGTGCGAGTGAGTTGTTGATGCCTCGTTAAAATAACCCGTTTTAGAGCAAGCTTGGAGTGAGGCGGGTTGTAAGACGACTGTTGAGTACGACCAGTATTCAGGAGCAACTGATGTAACGTGTCACAGTGATCATTTAACTAGTTTTGCAGTTCTCATGGTAAGCTATTAAGAACTTAACGAGTGAAAAATTAAATCTTTATCTTGGTAATAAGGAGATTTCCCCAGAAGTCAGCTCACAATAAATTAAACGATCAAGAAGGCTACACTGTAGTATTAAAGTTGAAAACCGTACACAATCAAGTCGCAAAAATAAAATGCTTTTCTCCTAACCATGCAACTATAAGTATACTGTTTTGCACGTGCTGACGATAGTTAACTATATTACAGACCCTGTCAAGCGAGCAAGGGCACGGCGAGGAGGAGGTTTCGGACGTGCTGCTAGCTACCAGTTTAGTGTGCTTGGTACTGACATTGGCAGCAATCCTACCTCATAGGTTAGTTCCTCCGACCTTTACCAATTGTTGAAATTCGACATCTAGCGTAATTTAGCGTCATCTAGCGTTATCTAGCGCGAAATGACACTAGATAGCGACAATTAGCGACAATGTCGTCGCACCTACAATTTGCATTGGCTGCTATCTTACCTCATAGATTAATTTAAAAGTTACTCTGCATGATCACCAAATAGTTGTAGGACGACAATTATTAATTTGAAAAACAGCAACAACTTAAATATTATATAAACCCTCTTTACAACTTCAAGCCAGCAGTTTTTTACGTTAATTTTGATTTAAATTTCAATTAGATGTATCCTCAAAAGTCTCATAATTCAGTACCATATAAAGGTTTACCTTGTTTTCAGAGAGATTATGAAGATGTTACCCACCAGAGTAAACCTAATGCTTGTTCTCGCACTTATATTCTCAATTATATGCTTCTTCTTGATGGATTTCTTTGTGTCTGAAGAGGAAACCGTTGATACACACATCTCGTGTTCAATTGTAAGCTAAACCTGTAATTCATATAAGACCTGTAATTCATATAAAACATTAAACCTGTAATTTATATAAAACATATAAAACCTGTAATTCATATAAAACTCTAATTCATATAAAACATATAAAAAATAATATCTGTAGCTGCGGGAGGTCCGTGCTTTATTTTGTTAGTGATTGTTACCATTTATCTCAGATTGAGTTCTAACTCAACTATCTGCCTCAGATTGCGTTCTTGCTCAACTATTTCTGGCTGTGTCAACTGAGTTGGATGGTTATCGAAGCAGTGACTATGTATTTTTCTGTAGTGAAGGTTTTCAACACATATCTTCGTAGACCCATGTTGAAATACAGTGTGGCTGGATGGCTTCTACCCGCTATTTTCCCTTTGGTTGGACTGGTTTGGGGCGGTTCAGATTTCGCTGATCCCAAAACGTTAGTTACTGATTCGGATTCCGATTAATTTGATATAATATAACTGATAATAATAATACCGGATACCACCATTAAATTATTAAAGTACGAATCCGCGCCAAATGTGATACCCCGCACTTAATTTAGCGCAAAATGTTATACCCCGGACTTTCATAGCGCCAAATGTGATACCCCGCACTTTTATAGCGCCAAATGTGATACCCCGCACTTTTGGCGCCAAATGTGATACCCTACACCTAATTTAGCGCCAAATTTAATATCCCGCACTTATGACGCACTTTCAGATGCTTTGTGAGAAGACCCTACGGTTTTGTGTCTTTCTACGGACCTGTAGTAGTCGGAGTTACAATAAACTGGATTCTATTTTTCTACATAGCTCGAGTCATCTTATCAATGGCATCCAGTACAGCCAAGCCCGAGAAAATGAAGGTGTCCAGCGTTAAGATGAGATCGGTTAGTTATTTTAGGAATTGGGAATGATGGTGTGAGGGGTGTGGTAGCATGATGGGTTGGGTTTCAGATAGAGCAGAATGCTTATAGTGTGTAATGTTAGTCAATATATCTCAACTTAAACTCCTTATATCTTCAGAGGCAGCTCCGTTCTGCACTGATCGTGTCTACTTTCCTTGGTCTGGGATGGATTACGGGATTCTTCCTGCTCATGAACAACTCCAACTATTCTGAAATCAACACGGCAATCAGATGGCTATTCATATTGGTAAATGCACCTCAAGTAAGTTACTGTTAGCATTAAGGTAAGTTACTTTTTGCATTGGTATTACAAAAAAAATAAATGTTTGTTTAAGTTAAACCCATTATTGTTCATCACGTGCTAGTTATATTGTTTCAATTTTCTAAACTTGGACCTCAGAACAAATATTTCAGGGGCTGTTTATTTTCCTGTTCTACGTCGTCCTAAAGGATGAGGTCAGAAGATTTTGGGAATCCAGGATCACACATGTGGGACGCTCACTTGGTCTTGTCAGTTCTAAAAAAGGTAGGATATCATCTAAATTAGCCTTGAAATTCCGTGTGCAGATGATTTATTTGAAGCGCCTCAGAAATTCACTGATCCCATAAATAAAAACTGCAGTAGGGTCATTTTATTCACTCGTCAAAAGGTTTCCATCACAACATAAGTTAATGCTGTATAACATGTTTTAACATTTGATCAACGAATTTTAATCTAACATAAAAGTGTAATGCCGAAACATATCTGGCTATATCTACATTTCAGGCTCCAGACTCTCCAGATCCCAAAGCGGATTCTCCTCCGAATATACAGGTACAGTTTTATTTGTAATGAGCTTATTCGAGCTTCAAACTTTTGCTTCAAACTTTTGACTGACATTTATGATACCTTAATATACTATTACGATATGTGACCACTATATTATATTCATGATGTAATAAAATAATACCTAGGTATTGTTTGTTATAATTTTTATAATTTTTAATAATTACAACAATCAACTTTCCCGTAGGGGTGGCAAAAGATGAAATCGTTGAGTTCAAGTCTACTAAGTCGAGCATCAGATCAAAAGTATCCAGCATCAAAAGCACTAAGCTGTCGCACCAGCGTAGTTTCGAGGGCTAGTGCCATCTCTACCATACTAGTAGGATAAATAAAGTAGCCTACAAAATCAGTTCTACAATTTCATGATAAGAGAAGATTGTACCTCACTGATAACGAGGTCTCCCGTAACGTTACAGCGCAGTTGTTCGGGACGAGATTATAAACACTTAAACAGTAAAGAAATGAGAGCGATAAGGTTGGAGCCCCGCACACATGTTACATCAACTATTAGTATTACATATTGTAACATGATGCCAGAAGAGGCTTAATTCGGCTGTATTAAATATTTGTTTTGAAAATTACAGTGGTCGCACTAACGTGGAACAGACTGTTTTTCAGATGTCGCATTTGAAATTTCCCACGGCCGCTGATCTAACATTAATTAAAGGAAATATATAAATAAAAAGAAATATAAATCTATACCCTTAAAACTAGTAAACAGTAAGACTTGTAAATTGACATCTTAATTTTTAATTGACATCTTAATTTTTAATTTAATTTTCTGCCTTGAATAAGTTAATTATCAATTAATTGCTAGTATGTAATATGCTATTACTATCAATAACCAAAAACGTCTATCAAATGATCGTTCAGTTATTACGTAATCTCTATCATATACAAAAGTTATTTTATTTGGAACAGAACATCTGTGCGCTGTTTATTTCTATTTCAAAAATTAACATTAGAAAAAAAGCGCGGGCCCATACCATGTTATGAGTAAAACACAATTTGCGGTGCAAATAAAAAATAAACAAAAATTAGAATCTACTATCGAGGTATTATTTTTAACGGTCAATCAAGGTACTATATCTATAGGCTAGAGCATTATTTTAAAAAGTTAATGTATTATTTCTATTTCCATAAGTCAAGATTACTCCAAATGTTGATGGTTTCTTTAATCCTGCTTTGCATTTCGTTGATTCTACCCATCACACTGCTCATCAGACATTCTGGCCCGGACATGTCTTCAGCAGTATATCTTCCCATTTCAATACTCTGACGTCATCATGTTCCTCCTCTACTGCAGAACACAGTCCTGAAGTAAACATCTTCTCTACATCAGACGACTTCAGCTGTTCCGAGTACAAGTTAAACTTGTGTAGTTGACCGCCGAACACGTACTCGTAGTCATCTGAGCTGGATATAGCATATTTTCCCATCACGATATGTCCTGCCGGTGCAAGTTCTCTAGCTGGAGTAGTACAGTTACCCACTTCCTCCCCATCAAGGTACACGGTTAGTCCTCCAGACATCGCCCAGGTGAGACAGTAGTGGAACCAGACTGACTGGCCTGGAAACTTGCTTTGCAGTACCACGTTGTATCCGTCCACATAGTTAAATCCGCCGTTACTTCCTATCAAGATCTCATCTGGGGATGAGTGGATATTGAATACTATCGGGTAATTTGCAGTGTGCAATCTTTTTACCCACGCACATGCTGAAAATGCGCTCAGTGATGTCATCTCAGTCTCGAAACTGATATAATCTTCAACTGTTTTACCAAATTCAAGCGCATGGAGTCGTGTGTCTGTGTCACCAGCACCAATAGCAGGGACCACGACGAATACGAAAATCGAGAGAAGCATTGGAATCTCTAGATCGCAACAAACTCGGGGCACAGTCGGATTACGGTTTGAAAGTTTGAGCTCTGTATATTGGTGAGATATCTACAGTCTAGATAGTGAGTAAAATTCCAGTCACAGCGGTCTTTAAGATGATTGAACTCACAAATAAAAGAAGGATTTTAAAAACGGATTACAGCAGCTGGTGATTCAATAATAAAATATCCCTTAAACTTCAAATTTAGAGTTGAAATTAACATGAATCTTAATTCTATTTTGGTAAACTCTCTCCCGCAGAAGCACCTGTGGTACAAACTGGTCACAGGACGCAGTCGTGTTTATGTCGTTCACTAACTCTAAGGTTTTCTAGCGATCAGAGCTTTCAAAGGAGAAATCAATAATTTAGCAAGGCGGCGGTTAAACCGCGTGACGGTTCACGGGACAGGCTAAGAATAAGAACTATTGTTGTGACTGGATCATGATCGCATCTGTTATAGATGTTAACACAAACTCTCAAACAGTCATATAAGTACCTCTCATATTCCATAGCTGATCGGGGGGGGGGGGGTTGCTCTACACTTTTTTACACCTTACATTAGAAAAAGATAAAGTTTAAATTTAATAAAGTGACATTTTTGTCTCATCAAATGTATGTTGTACCCATCGTTGTTAAGTACGCCGAAAAACCGGTCGAAAACACGCCGTTTGTCAAAATTCTAAGAAATACGTGGAATACGGCCCATTTTGCGGTTCCAAAAAAACATTTTTTGATGTTTAATTTTGTCCAAATACGCAGTACGTTGTTATAATTAACGTACGCAAGTAAAGTACTTATGGCTTAGTTATTAGTACATTGTACATCAGCTGCCACTCGCCGCACATCTGACATTATGAATATAACCTGCCTAATCAGTAATTGGCATCATAATCTGCTTGAATACAAATTGCTACCAAAATGGTCATTCATTTAATGAATCTATGAAATGCAAGAAAAAAATGCACGTTTTGTTGTTTTTGAAAGAAGAAATGGTATAGGTAGCCCTATACAAAGCTAGGACTAAGTTCAAAGTTACATTTACCTGGGGAACTCAGGCTATCATGTTCAACTTCATAAACATAGAGATTAGGCGGAATGACAGGCTGAGCGGCCCAGTAAAGTTACATGACATGTGTAGTCAGTGTAATAAGCGCCAAGCGCGAGCACAGAACTTTTTTTCTCCGATTTCGATAAATTTGGTACCAAAAGTTGTCTAAAAATGTGAATAAAATAAATCCACCGTGTAGCAATTTTCGGAAAAAATGCTACACGGCGCTTGTTCGCCGCGCGTGCTTTTTTCGCGCAAATTTTTAGTTTTTGGCCTATAACTTTCACATTTTAAATTATTATCACATAGTTATTATGGTATCGTAATCAGCTCATCGAGACGAAACTTTTAGTACTAATATTTTAAGATTTAAAGGATTTTTTTTCGAAAGTTTTAAATATTATAATTTTGGTACCAAAAGTTGCGTCTGATTAAGCTCATTACGATTCTGTAAGAATTATTTCAAAATATTCAATATTTTAGGAGTTATAGGCATTTTAAGCAATAAATTAACCATTTTTCGTCCATAGTACACTTTTGCAATGCACAGGAGGCCCACATACATCTCAACGAATCGTGCTACACGGTGAATTTTCATTATTCACAGTTAAAGGCAACTTTTGGTACCAAATTTATCAAAATCAGAGACAAAAAATTCTGTGCCAACTCATGGCGCTTATTACATAGACTAGTGGTCCGTGCGCCGCGCATTATAATCTGATTAGAATTTAATCGACATAATATATCAAGTTGCACATGAGGAAACGCGCAAGTCTTGGCTCTAAACATTTGTTTGTCGGTTTCACTCGGTTGTGACAGATTTGAACGAAGTACTCAAAAAGCTTTTGAGAAATACGTATTCGTAATTCGTATGCCGTACGTTTATATTTATAAGATTAAAGATACGCTACGTTGAGACGTTGAGATATTGTAATTCTTAATCACAATGCTGGCAAGCATTACCGTCGCCCTTATATTCACAATACTATTTACCCCCTATACTAGTATATCCCCTTTATTGTTTTCCAGGCATTAAGATTCATCGAAAGTAGTTCAGCAGGCATATTTAAGTTCAAAACATTCTAATTCAATGTTAAAGATGACAGGAATAAGAAATAGTTATGTGGAGGTTTTTAAGAAATTTGCGCAAAATACGCGCCAGCATGTTATACGAAATTAGGTAAAAAACCCAAAATCGCCATATTCAGGTGCCATAAGAACCATGTTAAAACTGAGTTAGAGATATGAAACTTTGCAGGGCGTCTAGACCTTGACCAAATCGACTGTAAAAAAATTTCATGTTTCAGGAGTATCGGCAAGTGGGTTTTCTGGAACCCCTGTTTTACAACAGATTGTCGTGAAGTATATCACAATGCTGGCAAGCATTACCGTCGCCCTTATATTCACAATACTATTTACCCCCTATACTATTATATCCCCTTTATTGATTTCCAGGCATTAAGACTCATCGAAAGTAGATCAGCAGGTACATTTAAGTTCAAAACATTCTAATTCAATGTTAAAGATGACAGGAATAAGAAATAGTTATATGGAGGTTTTTAAGAAATTTGCGCAAAATACGCGCCAGCATGTTATACGAAATTAGGTAAAAAACCCAAAATCGCCATATTCAGGTGCCTTAAAAACCATGTTAAAATTGAGTTAGAGATCTGAAACTTTGCAGGGCGTCTAGACCTTGTCCAAATCGACTGTAAAAAAAATTTCATGTTTCAGGAGTATCGTGAAGTGGGTTTTCTGGAACCCCTGTTTTACAACAGATTGTCGTGAAGATATATATATAATATATAATATAGACGCTTTTTGCAGTCAATTGTAGCCTACATTTAAGTGTCCGTAGATTCGAAAGTATAAACGATACAGTCATCTCGAACCACAGGTTTTAAAGATAATCGTTTAAGCTTTAGTTTACATTGTATTGAAAAATAATTTAACGTCATCATCGTCACTTGATGACGTCATCAAATTAAGTGTTTTAAAAACTTGATTTTTGACAAAGTAACAACTTTTCAAATCGATTTTACGCTATTAAGGAGTAATTTTATTCAAAATCTGAGGACATTTTCATCTTAGATAATTGTTCAAGCATTCCGAAAATCTACCGGAATAGTTTCCTACCTTGCTCCTTCATAAAGATATTTGCTATTGAAGTTAGTGCTTTTTTGAAGAATAATTTTATAAAAACACAAAAGTTGTGAATTAGTATTCTCTGGTGTTGGGTCATCCCTTGGGTTGTGGAGCTCAATTTTGCTTCTTAAAGGTGTAAATTGTGTTATAGGCTAGTTTTAAAGTTAAAAATCGAAAAGGTGCACACGTGGGGACACGCCCAAATTTATTTAAAATAGCTAAAATCACTAAAAATTTTGATTTTCACGATTTTTATCAACTTTGAAGTCCCGTTGTGACCCAAGTTCTTTTTGAAATCTTCTGAAACTTTGCATGCTTATCAAACTATATATTAAATACCACTATGCAAAAATTTACGGTGATTCAATATTGTATGCGCACGCAACGTCCGCTCAAAGTTTGCACGTGCGAAAGGTGAGAATTTTGCTCATTCGAATTCGAATATATTCTGCTTTCCACGATATTTAAATGGCATTATATATGAATTTAATGCCAACTTGAATGAGTAAAAAGTGCCATATTCAGTCGGTTATCGACAGATATACCTAACTAAACACAAGGAAACGTTTTCAAAGGCAGAATTTCGAAATCGTCGGAATTACCTCCTTGTTAATGAAGTTTCGATTGTGTAAATTATCCCGACATTATAATCAAAAAGAGATGATATTTGACCAAAACCCATAATCATGGGTAGAGTGTACCGCTGCCAGTGTCTCTCTTTTCCAAACAAAAGGAAATGATATTAATTTGAGGAACCGTCCGCTAATGCAAATTGATACCGAGAATGAAATCGGTCGCTCGCTTTTCCCATTTAATAAGCTTTATTACAATTCGTAAGCCGTGAATGAAT